TGGGTGTCAGTGTCTGAGTAGATTATTCACTCCTCTCCAGTTGACAGACAGTTTGGAGAGTCCACTTCCATCCCATCTGCACATTACTCACAGATTCCCAGACTACTAATTCTATACCACACCTTCTCATCTCGTTTGCAATCTGGGCAGGCTTGTCAGCCAGTCAGTAGTCAGCTAGTCAGTCAGCCAGCCAGCCAATTAGTCAACTTCAAACATAGTGTGGACATTCCATGTCCCTATGCATACTTTCACTTTCATCGAGAGAAGAAAAGATACATCAGTGGACTGGCTTCTCGAGGGCTTTCACCAACCGGCATCATTTCGTCTCTGCGATTGCAGTGATGAATAAGTTTAATTTAATTTTTAATATTTTCGTGTGTGCTTTGAAGTTTGTTTAGGGATTGTATTAGTTTTGCGGTTTAGGTTTGCTAGCCCTATGCCCAGCCTTCCTTCTTTATTTGGGCTTAGGGCCGGATAGTTACTAGCGTACTAGTTAACTGGGCGAGGTTTCAGTCAAATATACGTTATCAGAATGTTGTGAAGACTTATACAGAAAAATTTAGTAACTGTCTGACGTCTTATTTTGAAAGAGTGTAACAGAATCTATTTAAATTATAAGGCAAACTAATTTGTCTTCTGTTACATCGTCCGTTTTTTCCTCTACTATGATTTTAATTAGTGTATCTGTGGTTGACTTTAATACCTCACTGAACCTGGAGTTGACTGAACCAGATTAATCCGCTACTATCAACAAATAACCGCCTTCTCGGATGTCTCAGTACTATCTCCAGTTTTAATCTGATACAAACGACAAATATTTGAATGGATCGGAATCCAGGTAGTTTGTTTCATTTTATCTATTACTATAGCCTGAGTGGTTTCTCACTCCTCCACTTGTTCTGTAGTATACTTTGTTACTTCAAAACACTTGTGTCAGAGATCGCATTTTGTGATCTCAGACGAGTAGTTTTCAGAGGAAACCTTGCTGATGCCATATTTCAGTAGTTAAATAAATTACCCACCTTTGACAAACGTCAGCGTGGACATTGCAATTAGTAGATCATTTGCAAACTGCCAACTATATTATATTATTTGAGGTTCTGTTGTGCATCAATTTTTTATGTTATTTGTGACTAGCAAATTAGCGCACTATGAAAAGCCCAGAACTCTGCTAAGAAATATAATATTTTAAATCTTATATGATAATAGCAAGTGTCCATACCGAGTCTCAAAAGTCCAAAGGTGTTTGCAGTTAGAAGTTTCAAGAAGCTAGCTTCAAAATATAATAACTCAGTTTGCCGACTGTCTTATGGAATCTGACGAGTCCCAGCTTGGGCGAAACCCATGTCCTACGCGCTAAAGCTAGCCAAAAGGAAGACTATAGCAGCATTAAGAAGATTAGTCCACTAACTGAGTAACTAACAGTAGGAAAACAGTCTACGGCATTCATATCGTCTACATAGTCTTTTCTCTTCTCTTATTTTCTAAATCAGAGAGGTTTTAAACCTAAGTGAAGTTTAAAATAATTGGGTCACAAGTTTCCGTTGTAGCTTATGAGGTATGAATTACAAGGTCAAAAACAAAGAATATATAAACCATGTTACTTAAGGAATTATGCGAGAACATATAATTGTTGAGCAGACCAAACAATTTAAAACAAAAATAGCTTCAAATCTATAATATACTTTGCAGAAGAAATTTTATGCTAAATAATTATCCTTGGATAAAATAACAGTAAATTCTTTGACTCCAGCAACGAGTGACATTGTACTGAGTCTTCTAGAGAACATAAATATTCACAAGATGACTGGTATACCTTGATAACAAATGCCAGAAAGCACAAAATATAGGATCAGAGATTACTCCCAGAAGGCTAACTGCAGTACATCATTGTGTTAACTACCTTCGTTCATTAGTGGTATTAAAAAGTGTAGCAACAGACTTTGAAAAGCGCTTAGCGCTTAAAAACTAGCTATGCTTGTTAGCAGTATAAATTAGGCTTCGCAGAACTCTCACTATTATATTGACTTTGGTATGAATAGCTTCCAGTTTCAGATATAGGCATTTTCTTCACCTCCAGAATACGTCATAAGCCGTCCACATCTGTAGAAAATGTTCTGTCAGAAATGACACCCTCCAAATTTGCATCTTGCAATGATTCACTTTTCCTTTCAGTTTCAGTCATTTTACCAATATAATGTTTTCCTTTGAACGCATCCTGACCAACAATGGATAGGATGGTTTGGAAAAGCTTGAGTACCGAGTTAGTATGACATTGTATAAGGCGTATGTTAGTTATGTAATCCCGACACAGTGTATTCTTTCATTCAGTTATTAATTCTAATGTACTACGTTATGATTACGCAATCAAGATACATCCCACACGATGAATAATGCCTTCTATTCACCTACGAAGTAATCAATAGTTGTAGAAGTATTTTTTTATTCAGTGACATTACAGTTTTCTAGCTTTTTTCTTTTGTCTATCTGCTTATGAACAATCTCAGTAAAATAATACTTAAGGTTAATCACAAGGATATCTTCAGTCTCGTCTCCTTAAGAAGAAAGCACTTGTTTGATCTAGTCAAAAGAATAAATAGCTGAGAGTGTTTGTGCTAGCTGTTGTTTGGCAGACTAATTTCAGTGTAGTTAATGTCTTTACTAAAATTCGTATCGGCATATCCACAAACTGACGTAGAAAAGTACTTCACATGCATGCTGTCACTACCGAAGGTAAAACAATGAAATCAAAACTGAAGGGGGTTAGTTGAAAATGCATATTCCACTAAGTGGAATCATAAGTTATGCACTAAGGTCCTTATGAAAGATTTATTATCAAAAGTGAAGTCAAGAGGTGAGATAAAACGTATTTGTTATACAGGAAGGTATGATAATTTATCAGTAAAAAGTATGAGGAATCCTGAGGATTTTGAAAGGATTGCTGTGTAGAAATGATCATCATCACGCATCCTTTACTTAACTTATGTACATAGAATGAAAGAATAATTGAATTTTCGCTACGTTGATAATTAGACTTTCACTTTATTATGTTCACTCAACTCCATATTACCTTCCACTCCACCGACTTTAGCTTTATTCTTTCGTTTATACGCATCTGTTTCGTGTGAACTACTTGAAAGCTTCTTTCTATTCCTTTCTCATTTTTTATCTAATCACAAGTTAGCAGTCAGTTTTGCGGAGAAACCACGATTTCACCTTCCGAAATCCCTGTATTCACAAATCTCATTTAACTTTGGGATTATTTTTCTTACACCTGGGTTGAAAGCATTTCATTTGACTTTATTGTTCTAAAAACAATTTGTACTTTTGAATTGTCTACAGTTTATGAGAATTAGTTTTGCACAGAAACAACATCAGTCTCACTCTAGTCAAGAGGAGTATGTAGTGTAAAAGTACTCCTACTGATAGATTTTCGGCTACGGCATTCAATGGAAGTATAACCGAATTTCTTTAAATAAATAGAAAACCATTTAAAAAGTTGATATTTTCTCATTTTTATAAATTTCCGCATGTTCGTAAAAAAGATGCTTGTAACTTTTGACCTGTCATTTTAATCCTAGCTCCTTCAGAAAATCATAAAAACTGGGTGACCAGGTCAAAACCGTTCAGTTCAGCTTTTCATTCCGATGTTCAAAAAAATGATCATTATTCATCCATTCAGAAAATTTATGTAATATGTTATGCAACATGTTTAAATTTAAGGAAAAAGGTCATAGTTGACATCACAGTCCCCGTATAATTCCTTAGTTATGTCGGAAAAGAAAAATGAAATGTTATGCGTGCAAAATTCTGTTTGTATATACATAATGAACTGACATTGTTAAGTTTCCGCAATAGTGCTTGTAAAATGTGACAGAAATTCAACTTTCATCACCAGAGTGTATTACTTACTGCCGAAAGTAAATTTATAGAGGGTGAAAAGAGGCAGCCAAGACAAATGTGAAATCATAATGACATTAGATGTCGTAGGGAAGCTCAGTCAAATATATCAGACGTATGAAAATACAACAAAATACGGTGTCGTGTCTAATTTCTTAGTGACCACAATGCAGATTTAGTCCATAGATTTCGTTCAGGACTAAGTAAAACATACTGGAGAATCACATCGGCTTCCTATGGGTGATAAATCTTTACAAGTGGAACCATAAAAAATAGTTGTGGCTTAAAATACTGCTATTATGGGTACTATGTAATGGTCAAAAACGAAACACTATGGTATGTATGTATATAGATCTAGAATTGTGATGAATAATCCACCACAAGTTTAGTTGTAGCATCTGTTATTTAGAAAAACATTTAATTTGAGTACTTAGATCAGAATTATTGCACAGTTTTCTGTGAAACTGTAATAATCACCAACTAAAATTCCTCTAAGGTCACAACTGCCTTTGTGAAAGTCTAAAGGTCATTACTCATCTGAATAATATTCTTATGCATCTAGTTCATGCTGGAGATTAAAAGCATTGCAATTTCCAGGTATTTTATAATTCTTCAGTAAAACAACTTAGAATACACCTTCCGGAGTGTTTTTTGTCACTTTACTCGTCGAGTTTGAATTCATGAGTAAAGCTGTAATGTTGTTCAGCTGTCACCACAATGATTACCTGCTGTTTTAGGTCTCGACCTAAATGGCTCAATGGTGATGTGTTCACGGCGTAACCCGAAGGTCATGGATTTAATCCATGGCGAGACCAAAGGTACACGGTCCTGAGGAGTTCCATCCAAGGGAAAAACAATTTTCCATTGTACCCTAACTGATATCACTTCATAATGAACATCAAAGTCTAGTTAATATTTTTTGCAAAGCAATGACATAAGGACTCTTTTATAAGAAATATAACCCATAATTATTTCGATAAATTAATAAATTTTTAAATGTTACTTTTTGAATTATATAATTCTGAGAGCTTTTAATTTGACTTCTTTTTTGATAAATTCTATAAGTCATTTTGGCATCATTCTTTTCATATCTTTCATAGGTTGACGTCAATGATATTCATTATAACACAGATCAATACTTGAAGAAACTAAATGATGTGAAAATGTCGACATTTAACCAAAATCATAGTCTTTTCGACAGGCTAAGTCCATATGACAACACTACCATCAGCAGTCTTACTGGTAATTACAATACACCACTGGCTAATCAAGTAAATATACATTCTGTTGAAATGTATGCAAATAAAAATCTATCAAATGATAGTCATTTTTCTGGGTTGACTGAAAAGACCAATAACGATAAGAAATCCTGTACAATAAATTCAGTGACAACAGATAATTTATAAAAATTTTTTTCTGTGGGAACGAAAGAATTTGTCTAGTTATTCAATGTACTAGATATCGAACTCTGTAATGTTATTTACCTCTCAAAACAAGATCAACAATTACACAGCGCCCAATAATGATTTTCATTATAATCTAAATTAAAAGAAAACAGATAGAACAGATTCACATTTTTGATTATTCACGTGTTGTATATATGCTTTTTATCAAAATGTAATAAAATTTATTTCAATATAGACTTTATATTCTTTCACGACAGCAACCAAAGACACATGTATTCGACTTACTCATCAAAGTGACTGACAAGAACTTTATTTTCGCTAAATACTTTCTTGATTTCATGGTAATAGATCTCTCCTGGGATTTCAGAGGGACATTACATAAAACCTAAACAATTACCGTGGATTTCTTAATAAAACTAAATGTAATTATGCTTATTTAGTGAGAATGGAAAGGCCAACTGCTGCCTGAATTGTTTTCATTACATTCAGTCATTGGATAGGTGACTATTGAAAACTGTTGGGCACTTGTCAGTTGCTATTTAGATTCAGATCTACTCATACGTATAATCTATCTGTGGATGACTAAGATATGTGATGATAATAATACTATCATTAATTTGATGGATGTGAGCTATATAGTTGAAGTTTGTCTATATTTTTCAATTCATGATGTTGTACGGTAGCTATCCTCTAACTGGACATGACTCTTCAATTACAACTTGGCCAATTAGGTCAGTTGCTGATTTTCACAAGAATTTCAGTATATAAGGTCGCGAAAATAATTTACTGAGCTACCTCAGGGGATTCATATATGTGAAATTGGATTTTGAACCTTCATGCTTTTATCTCTGCAAACTGTATTCTCACTGACACTTACTTTGATTCAGTGCATAACTAACCCACTCAATAGACTGAATGAAAATAAAATTAATCTTTCCTAAATGATAAGTTCTGATGCAAACAAAATAACTTGCCTTCTTATTAGTCAATTACATCTGTCTAATTAGCAAGCTTTAATAAATGTGAATTAAAATAGTTTACGATTTCATACATTGTCGAATATAATACAATACTCAAGTAAAATTGCTTTATTTCTGATTACCGTTTATCATTTAAAATACCTTACCATTATTTCAAAATCATCGTTCATGACTAAAATGATGACGGAATCCAAACTTATTTAGCCATGTCATTCTCAAATCACGCTAAGAGTTTCTCTTGAAATAGTTTCCCAGTCCATTAGTATCAAATCCAACCTTACGTTTACATCCTCTTATGAGTACTTGAATGATGACTTTCAGCAGATGTGGCTCCCCGTAACGACTCTTTAAACTATATATTGGAGCTTTCGATATCCGCACTCTCCGTCACATCCGCTGACAAGTTTCACTACTGGGAGCTCTAACACCTCGAGCAATGGATGTATGCCGTGTTTGTGATAAATATACAGAGTATTCAAGTGCAGTTATTCACTCAACCTCACCTAACCAATATAGTGAATTAGCCAATCTTAATCTTTGAGTTTGTGAAAGTTACGACAGCCACTACTTGAGGTTTTGCAGGTGTAGGTAAAGAATTTAAAGCTGTAGCTAAAAGGGCACTCATTCAAAATATCCCTAGTTTCTTCTCCAGCCCGCAGTAAAAATACAGATGAAGAATGCATTCGGTATTTAGAAAGTGATAAGCACTGGCCAGTAGATCTTAGTAGTTTCTCCTGAACCGATTTATGCACGTAAACGTATCCTACTGGCAGCGAGCATAACGAAGAGTGGAAGCAACTAAAGTGAAGACTGACAAAAATCTACTCAACGACTGTAAACAACGGTGAATAGTCAAAGCTGAGGAAATGGAAAACTTCACGACGATAGGTAACAGTTGACAGCTACTTATCAGGGGAACTAGAACGTGAAGGTGAGTGGTTAGTGAGACTGGGCCTGTGATTCACTCCCAAAGGAAGATGGCTGAAATGATGAACGAAACACTTCTGAGAACAGTTAGATTGACTTCTAGCCACTATCTTATTGTCCGCAATTCAGTCAGATTCCGCATGAAACGTTCAGATGGGATCTCCAACACTTGCAGGAGTTGGTATTCATCACAAAATGAAATTATATGGACAATCACCGAAAACCTGGAAGTGCCTGGAGCCCTTTTGTCTTAGCACGTAGCTGACTTTAAAGGGGGTGCACACACATGACTTCATTACAGCCAGAACCTTGGACCTTCGTGTTTCGCAGTAAGTGCATTGCCATTAAGCTATTTGGTTGTAATCCAGTAATCCTAACTTTCCTACTCCTGTTAATTAGCTATATAGCGCAACCATCATCGAATTCCATTGTTGAGCATTTGTCTCCATGTCTGGCTTCGTTTGACCAGCTAGTCATGACTTCCCATAAGAGCTCTGAGAAATCATATCTCGGGGCAAGTCACTAATGATAACTGGACAGTAATCCGATTTGAAGTTCATCAAGGCTGTAATTATTCCTAAACAAGGAAGGGGAGGTAGATCAGACCAACTGGCACCAGAGATATATAACGACAGTTTTCCAGGATTATTTGTTAGGTTAGCTGAAGTATCAGCTAGTTAGTGTATGAGATCCGATTGTGATCTCATTTAGCTAGACTCAACCACCATGTTTGGATCCAGCAAAGCAGCCCAGATTGCAAGCGAAATGAGGAGGTATCACATTCAAATGCTAGGAATTTGCGAAAGAAGATGGAATGGGAGTGGATTCTCCAAACTGTAAACAATAGAATCAATAATCTACTTCAACAATGTCACCCTAACGACAACCACAAGCACACTGGGTCTTTGAGTGGATATCATGATGTCCACAACAGCATCGAAGGCTCTCATGCAGTGGGAAGCAATCTCCTCCAGCAGCATCATGATCATGAGAGCAATATTTAACTTAAAAGGAATGAAGTCACAATCATACAATGCTATGCACCTACAAATAATGCAGAGCAAGAGCAAAAGAGGAATTCTACAGACAACTTCAGTCGACATTGGACAAGACGTCAGTTGGCGATATCGAAATTGTAATGGGCGACATGAATGTCAAGCTGGGAGGGGACAACACAGGAAGAGAACCAACCATAGGTCGAGAAGCGTAAGTAAAAAGGTGAGTGAGAATGGAGAATTGTTTGCAGAATTCTGTGCATCCAACGATTTCGTGATTGGAGGTGAGGCAGTGTGTCCAAGCACAAGGATATCCACAAAGCGACATGGATTTCACCAGATGGACACACTAAAAATCAAATCGACTTTATCTCAATCTCAAGAAAATGGAGACGCAGTCTACTTTACACAAGGTCAGGAAGAGGAACAGATGTAGGCTCAGACCACTATCGATTTTGGGAAGGCCTTTGACATCGTCGACGGAGACGTATTCTGGCAGGTGATTCAATACTACGGAGTATAACAAACCTTTATCAACCTCATTCAACAACCATACGAAGACGTCACATGCCAAGTGATTCACAATGGAAAGCTCCGTGATGCATTTGAAGTGAAGACAGGAATAAAACAAGTCTGTCTACTATCACCCATGATCTCCCTGGATCATGCAACAAACAGTGAGGAGCGAGAAGAGGGAGATCCGCTGGGCCACGGAAAAGAACATAGAAGATTTGAATCTCGCCGATGACTTATGTCTAATGTCCCACAAACTTGAAGATCTACAGTTGAAAACTAACAAGTTGGTAGAAGAGGCAGGGCAGCGAAGACGGGACACCATTCAAGTGAGTATAGGGAAGACAGAAGTGATGAAGATACCCTACCAACACAACCACCACCACCAACAACAACAACAAGCTGCAATCAACATCAACGGGAGAAACTTAAAGGAGGTAGCCTCTTTCACGTATCTAGGCAGCACTGTTTCAACTTCACAAACCTCCAGATAGAAAATATTGAAATTATATGAAAAGGGTGAAAAATTATAAAGGGATAAAAAAGATTCCAATAATAAGGGTTTTTATTAGGTATTCCTTGGCCAAGGGGGAGATAAAGTTTGTACAAGCTTATTTGGGTGCAAGTACTAGGATTATCAGTTCGAATTCCCATAACTTCTGCTGTGTGTAAAAGACGAGTTCGAATATCTTCTGAATGATAGTACAGTATGCTGTAGATAATTTTTGAAAACATTGTTCTTATCTACTAAGTTATCACTATCAACCAAATGAGATGAAGCAGAGCTTCTTATAGATTTTTTCTGTCCCTTTCCCATGCATAAAGATAGATACTCAGCAATATATCTGTTATGTAGTTTAGTAGTACACCTTATATAACTTTTGTTACTGGCGTAACTTGTAAATACAAACATTACTAGGTAGCTTATACTTCATCTGAGCAAAACATCTGGTTGGCTGGAAAATGATAAGGAGGGTTCCGTAGAGTAGAAAGGCCTCCAGATGGCTATAAACAGCCTCTGATGTGAAACTTGGCTACATCTACAATAAATTGCAATTTCATGAACGGCGGTTTTTTTTGAACGTAACAAATTCAAGTTTATTTCTCCTCGCTTTATCCATGCTTCCTTATATGAGGTTGTTAGGAGAGCCTATTTCGATCAGTGAGTTTTGGATATATTCTAACTTCTTAGATGTTAAATCTTCAGAACATATTAATATGGCTCTTTTGTTATCAATTAAAGCTCCGTATTTAATGAAAAAACTATTTTTCCAACTGAAACAAAAACGTGTAATTATCTATTTCAGTCGTTGCTGATGACTAGTCTTAATTAAATCATAGAAAAATACACATAATCAGTCAGCAAACCTAAAATAATATTGGATATCATTCGAAATTACATGAAAAACACTAAGAAATATTGGGAACGACTCTTAAAGCTTAGATCCTACTACTCTTATATGTTTCTTTAACATCTGATGCAAACCTCATATAAGTAATTCTTAGATTATGACAAAGTAAACTAACGTATGACTCAATAAATTAGAAGCTGGTAAACTTTAGGATGTAACAAACTGAACGACGT